TAATATATTATATTTAAAGGAAGTCATTGTTATTTTAAATACATCGTGAAAGGCTTGCACATCGACAGCAACCTTCCACCTCTAAATCTCATTATCAAGTTAGGCTGCGTCCAGGTGTTCCTTGCCTAAAGGAGGGGGTGCTCATTACCATTCCGCCTGGTTCAATTAATAATTAAATTATGTTTTTATTTTACTTTTTTTATTCATTATGAACAATAATTAAATGGAATCTTTTTTTTATTCCACTAAAAATTTAAAAATTATTTTCAAAAACATAAAATATTAAAAATTAAATTATAAAATAAAAAATCATTATTATATTTATTTTATTTCTTAAAGATATTATTAAAAACTATTAAAATAATAATCTTAAATATTAAATTGTACTTAATTTTTTATATCTAATTTATTTATATGTTCTATTATTAATGTTTAATCATCATTATGTACGAGGTTAAAAAAAATATTTTGAAAATGAAATATTATCTGACCCAAGAAATAAAAAGAAATTACTTGATAATATTATAAAAGAAAACATAGAAAAAGTTAATAAGAATTATTTTTGGTATGAAAATAGTAGTAGTAATATATGCTCATATATACATAAAAGAGGATAAAGAGAAGGATATACAGGATTTTTCATCTCCTAGCGGACGTTTGAACTTTTATTTAGGCAGAAGGGATTTAATTTTAGGCAGAGTGGACATGAATGTTAATCTGAGTGGATATGAATGAAAGTTAATCTGGACATGAATAATAATTGATCTGGACATGAATGAAAATCGAGCTGGACATGAATGAAAATCGAGCTGGACATGAATGAAAATCGATCTAGACATGAATGAAAATCGAGCTGGACATGAATATAAATTGACCTGGACATGAATGAAAATCGATCTAGGCATGAGTGAAAATCGAGCTGGACATGAATATAAATTGATCTGGACATGAATATAAATCGATCTGGACATGAGTAAAATCAATCTAGACAAAATAAAAATCAATCTGTACATGAATGAAAATCGTTCTGGACAAGAATAATAATCAATCTAAACATGAATAATAGACAACCTGAACATAATAACAGTCAACCTAGACATAGTTTTAGTCAACTAAGACATAATAAAAGTTGAAGTAGATAATATATTAAGTATAGCAGAGTAGAATATATGAGTACTTAAGATTTTCAATTCAAGTCAAGACATAATATAAGTTAAGCAGTACAAAGCCAATATCAGGATATAGTAGTATGGCTGTTTCACTCGTGACAAGAAGCTTGTAGGCTAATGTACAGGAAATGGCAAGGGTGCGTCAGAGACTCACTGTGCGCATAAGGCATAAGCCTATTTTGCTGCTGTGGGAATAGGGCCTAAGCGTTACCCCTCATTTCACTTTACCTGGGTTGAGTTTGATACAAATTGGAGGCTAGTGGCAGAGGTAGGTGGAAAGTGTGGGGTTTGTTAGCAGCAGCAGGGAGGAAAAAAACAACAACCAAAGATCTTTTTTTTTTCTCATTACCATTCACCATGGCAAATCAACAGCTGCGACGCATACTTGTAAATGGCTCCTACTCTCTTCACGATGAACAAAAAATAAGGAAAACAAAACGGCACAATCCACGGATTTATTGAAAAACGAAATGAAGGTAACTGTTTTCTTAAAAAAAGCATGTGCTCAAGATTTATAAAGGAGTAGACCGCCGTTACTGCTGCTTAAAAAAACGCTGGATACGTGAACAAGGGAAGGAAAAGGTTATCGGTTGTGCTTGAGGTATAGCTTTAGTGGAGATATGCCCATTCAGAATTACTGCTTCTTTCTCATTTTCTCTGTATATACTTGATGCACCATCTTGCACCAATCCAACGTCAAACTTACGTGTGTGATACAACATCGTCCTCTACCTGCACAAACCATTCGTACTCACAACAAGAACGACGCAACAATCTTCTTTTCCATTACTCAAACACAATCATATACAACATGACACTGATCCGCTATTGGCTTGCAAAATATACAGCCTGACGTATTCACCTTTCACTATCATGTACGCCCATATTACACGATGACGACTATGACGCCGGTCTCATTGTTTTAATACTTGTACGCTCAAGCACATCATCATCGTAATGACGGTCATCTCTTTCTTTGCTGTTTGTATTCACATCAACGCGATGATAATTATATTCCTATAATGCATACACACCACCACAACTATAATCCTCCTTTGCAATTCGCTGTACTCGCACACACACAATGGCAACGACGATTACCTTTTCTTTTTGCATATGCCAACACAACATTGCCGGTCTTGATGGATAAGGTAGTTATATATGCTGATGGGTGGTATGTAGGGTTTTATTATTGTTACTGTAGATGTTATGGTTGGGATAAAAAAATAAAAGTAAAAGATCATACATTATGTAGTCATTATGTTTCAGTTGTTTGCATAAACGGGTGTGAGATGGGATTGCATGTTATTACAAGTGCTTCATGGATATAGCTCTGAGCGGTGTTGATAATATGGCAGGGACAAAGAAGAAAAGGCGTTTGTTGTTATGAAGGAGGAAGTTTCTTTGCTATTACAACAGCAACTTTATTTGTTGTTAATAACAACAACTATGAACAACCAACAAGTTAGTACCCTTGACGACTCGCTACGCTCTCTCTCACTCGACTGTACGTGGAGTTCTTGCACTCATTCCTAATGAAATCGTGTGCGTTCCTACTGCTCAATGGCAGATCTTCAAGGATCGCATCTCGGAATTGTGTGGCTACAAATGGGTTCACAAACGCGAGACCTTGCATGGCACCAGACGCTCTGCCACGCAATATCAATAATTACAATAACCATCCTTCACCACGAAACAACATCCTTCGCACTTGTACAACTCTTGTAGAACCTTCTTTGTTGTCTTTCTTATATAACAGTCAACATACTTTATTTTCATCCAAGCCACAGCAACACAAAAGGAAAGAAACCCGTCAGTTATCCTTCCTGCTATCTACAGCTCATTTATCTATAAAGACTGGCGATGTTAACGTTGGTATATGCAAAAGGTAAAAAGTAATCGCGTCAGGCTGTATGTTTTGCAAGCCAATAGCGGATCAGCGTCATGTTGTATATGATTGTGTTTGAGTAATGGAAAAGAAGATTGTTGCGTCGTTCTTGTTGTGAGTACGAATGGTTTGTGCAGGTAGAGGACGATGTTGTATCACACACGTAAGTTTGACGTTGGATTGGTGCAAGATGGTGCATCAAGTATATACAGAGAAAATGAGAAAGAAGCAGTAATTCTGAATGGGCATATCTCCACTAAAGCTATACCTCAAGCACAACCGATAACCTTTTCCTTCCCTTGTTCACGTATCCAGCGTTTTTTTAAGCAGCAGTAACGGCGGTCTACTCCTTTATAAATCTTGAGCACATGCTTTTTTTAAGAAAACAGTTACCTTCATTTCGTTTTTCAATAAATCCGTGGATTGTGCCGTTTTGTTTTCTTTGTTTTTTATTCATCGTGAAGAGAGTAGGCGCCATTTACAAGTGTGCGTCGAAGCTGTTGATTTGCCATGGCGAATGGTAATGAGAAAAAAAAAGGATCTTTGGTTGTTGTTTTTTTCCTCCCTGCTGCTGCTAATAAACCCCACACTTTCCACCTACCTCTGCCACCAGCCTCCAATTTGTTTCAAACTCAACCCGGGTAAAGTGAAATGAGGGGAAACACTCAGGCCCTGTTCCCATAGCAGCAAAATAGGCTTATGCGCACAGTGAGTCTCTGACGCACCCTTGCCATTTCCTGTACATTAGCCTACAAGCTTTTTGGTACGAGTGAACCAGCCATACTACTATATCTTGACATTGGCTCTGTACTGCTTAACTTCTATTATGTCTTGACTTGAATTGAAAATCTTAAGTACTCAAATATTCTGCTCTGCTACACTTAATATATTATCTACTTCAACTTTATTATGTCTTAGTTGACTAAAACAATGCCCAGTTTGACTGTTATTATGTTCAGGTTGTCTATTATTCATGTTTAGATTGATTATTATTCTTGTCCAGAACGATTTTCATTCATGTACAGATTGATTTTTATTTTGTCTAGATTGATTTTACTCATGTCCAGATCGATTTATATTCATGTCCAGGTCAATTTATATTCATGTCCAGCTCGATTTTCACTCATGTCTAGATCGATTTTCATTCATGTCCAGCTCGATTTTCATTCATGTCCAGCTCAATTTTCATTCATGTCCAGATCAATTATTATTCATGTCCAGATTAACTTTCATTCATATCCACTCAGATTAACATTCATGTCTACTCTGCCTAAAATTAAATCCCTTCTGCCTAAATAAAAGTTCAAACGTCCGCTAGGAGATGAAAAATCCTGTATATCCTTCTCTTTATCCTCTTTTATGTATATATGAGCATATATTACTACTACTATTTTCATACCAAAAATAATTCTTATTAACTTTTTCTATGTTTTCTTTTATAATATTATCAAGTAATTTCTTTTTATTTCTTGGGTCAGATAATATTTCATTTTCAAAATATTTTTTTTAACCTCGTACATAATGTTTTCAAAAGATTTAATTAAAGATGACTTGCATATAAGAATATCTTTATTGAAGAGAACTATTTTTCAAATAAACTTTTAGATTTATATTTTTTTTTAAATCTTCTGAAGTTTATCTTTTTTATAAAGTAAAAATTCAATTTTTATTCTATTTTTTAAGTTGATGTAATTTTTTTCAATTGTTACTTTTTTCACAAATTTTAATATAATAACCAGCCTCCTATATAAGTATAAGTATCATTAGTAAGCATCATCAATAAGCATCGTGTCAGTTTTCAAACTTACTTGATGAATGTGAGGATATTGGATGGGTTGATAGAAAAGCCGGCGTAGTCAATAAATACTAAGCAAATAGTGTCGGTTCCACATATAAAGTCGATCAGATTTAGTTCAAAATTAGGCACAATACAGTGTTATTATCTATATAATCCTAAACAGTATTATTTCCATATTACCTTGCGTATTTCCTTCAACCTTGTGCATTTGCAATATATGTTTGTTTTCCGTATGGGAGTCCCTTGAGCTTATTGAATCAGCTGCTTTGGTTGAATACGATACAAACGCTTTGTCAGTAAGCGAAACTTTAAATAATCTGTCGACCATTTTTTGTAACAATTGTAGTCTCGTAGCAATGTCCTCCATTCAGGGCGATTTCCTTGTATATCCCACAGTGGGATGTACAGTACCAAATTGGCTATAAACTTACAATAGTTTTTGATAAATCTAATAAATTGCTTGCTGCCATATTAAATTATATCATCCATTTTGATATTATACAGTATACCCCCGTTAACGTCAACCCCGATAACGTCAACCCCCGATAACGTCAACCGATTCGCTGGTACCCTTTCAAATTTAGCAGTTAGAGATTTTGCCTATTCTCTACCCCCGGTGGTCGTCAACCCTCGATATGGTCAACACTTTTGCTGGTACCCTGAGGGTTGACGTTAACGGGGGTCGACTGTATCAATTGTATAACATCATGTGACCAAAATCAGGCATTCCCTGATTATAAAAATTAAAAAATCCATAATATAAATAAAGAACGACCCAATGGATACAACAAACTATACACCACTGATTACAAATGAAGTAAACTCAATTATTGCAAATTATTGGCAATTTCTAGAATGGAATTGGCCTACTGTACATAATAAATATAAACATAGAACTGATTTGAGACATATTAAATTCATAGAAAAAATTAAGGATGAATTGTTACGTAAATTAGGTTATGTTGCTGTATTTTATTTTCTAGTAGCTTTATATACAAACAAGGAATATCCCGGACCTTACTTTGAAATTGAAAAAGGATTGTTTTTATTATATCATTTAGTCTCTGGGGTATGTGGTGAAAAATTTGAAAAATACTTACCACATAGCACATTTCATACATTTTATACAAAGTTTTGGATGGATGAGGACAACTACAAATGAATCAATAAAATAGTAAATGATTCAATGAATAACATATTTCTATCTATTAAATTACGTATTCTATCTGCTAGAAAGCATAATCCCGACTTATTTAAACATGTAACACTTGTATTGGATGGCCATGATTCAAGAATTAACTATGTAGATACTGAAATTGACCACTTTCAAAGAATGTATTCTTATAAATTTAAGAAGAATGGAATATGTACCCAGTTTGTTAGTGATATGAATGATATGATTATTTATACTTCTAAAAGTGACTTTTGTTCTGATAGCTCAGATGGTAGCATGTTTTTAAACATGAAATTATTTAAATATATGTATGAGAATGACATAATGGCAGTTGATGGTGGATATACTTTATTTATCACGCAATTTACAGAGCTTGCTAATGAAAAAGGATATAACTTTAGCCATGATAATTTTGTATACCCTATATGTAAAAATGTAAATGAGCCCTTAACAATTACTGAAGATCATTTTAATAAGACATTTGGAAGTTTTAGGACAAAAGTTGAGAATCAATTTTCAGAAATTGGGAATAAATTCTGCCGATTCAATAATAACAAGTTAGTTGTTAAAATGGATAACATAAAATACTATAATCTACAATTTCATGTAGCTTGTTTATTAAAAAATACTACAAAATTTGTAGAAATGTTCAATATTCCTATTTTACTGCACCATAAACTATGGCATAGTAATGATTTTGATTTTCCAGTAGAGCATAAACTAATTGATATAGTGTTCAGCAATAATAAACAAAATAAAGATAAACTGGATAAAATGATCAGATTGCAAAATGACCTGCTTAATATGGCTATATCAAATGAAGAAATGATTGTTGATAATGAATCTGATAATATTTCAAATCAGAGTAATAGTGATAATGATGATGTTCTAAGATTTAATGAGCGTAGTAAAAAAAGAAAGCGAAATAAAGGGAAACAACGAGCAATGGCATCATATGAAATAGAAGAGATTATTAGGCATAAAACTGAAAATGGTACATATTTGTTTGAAGTAAAATGGGTTGGATATAGTGCTGATGATAACAGTTGGTTATCAATTGATAAATTTAATCAAAAGGATTTATTGAAGGAATATATCAATAAGCATAATCTTGGTATATTATAAAATTGCATACTGTGGGTACTGCATTACCTAGATGTTTACAAATATATAGTAAATTTTCATATGTCCAGCAGTTCTTTTATATACATTTTAATAGTAACATTATATAAATATTTTTTTTCTTTTCTTGTAAATTTTTTGTTCAAATATTTGATTATTAATACAAATAAATTCTATTTGGTCTTCTAAATATAGCTTAAATAATTTATTATATAACTCATTATATTTAGACCTATTATTAAAAAATATATTATTTATTTTTTACTTTTTTTATTAGAGAATTAAATATAGGTTTATATTTATAACAACTATGACAAATATTGTAAACTTCTTTATAATGTTTTTTCTTGCCACATATAACACATAAAGGATTCTTTTTTGCCTGATCTATTAAAATTTTATCATTATAAAGATCATCTTTAGGATTACCGATAGGGGTCTTCATTCACGGATTTGAAACGGATTGCAGCGAACTTGGATCCGTTTCGTTTTTAAACGGATCGATTTTTTGAAATCCGGATCTGATCCGGATTATAAAACTGCAGTTCCAATCCGTTTCGTGAGAATCCAGATTGAATCCGGATCAATTTTGAATCAGCACGTCAGCACAAGGCTCATTAAACGACGTATATATAAATGGGAAATGACGACATAAAAAAAGCACGTTTTCTTATGACCAGGATTGAGTTATCGTGAAGTTTATCGTAGTCGTTATAGAGCGTGTTGTAATGGTGAGAAAGCAATAAAGACAGGCAGCAAGATTTGAAAAAGCATTTCAAAGTATAAAATGTATTTTGAAAAAATATTTATTTTCTATATGTAACAACCAGAGCGCCGGAACGAATAGTGTATAAGAAGTAAAAAAAAGGTGGGAAGAGGATGACGGAAAGAAGAGATGTAGGTAAAAGGGAAAAGGGGAAAAGAGAAAAAAGCAGTCTTCAGAAAACCAAAAGGGACAAATTTTGTTGCAGCCTACTCCTCACCAAAAAATTTGCTCCACGAGTCAATCAACACACTTGCCTTTAGCTTCTTCGAAGCAAGTCTGTTCCGCGAGCTAGGAACATACTGCTTTGCACGAGAAAACGTGCGCTCTGATCCTGTCGACGAGGCTGGAATTGCTAAGTATCTTCGTGCCATTCTTTTCAACTCGGGCCAGTCGTTCATTTCCGATCACCAATATTCGAATACTACGCCGTTGTCAGCCCCACCCTTTGGATCAGTCACTGTATCCGCCTGGATGTACTTCTCAAGCTGGTCTTTGTTGATGACCGCCTTCTTGATTAGTGCATCGGGGTTTGTAGGAGTCATGACTTGGCTTCTGCTTGGCTTATAGGACTCTCACGCCTTTTCGACCAGCTCGATTGCGTCTGTCCGAAATAGACCCCAGTTCTCGCTTTCCCACCATTCATACTTTAGACGCGGGTCCATGGCCGTCGCAACAGCGTACGCATGTCCTTCTGCTTTGCAGTAATATCCTTGCAACTTATTCCACCCGCATTTTGCAGCTGCTGCAAGTTCCGGCCACGTCTACAATTGCAAAGGAAAGTTTTAGAACTTCACTGCTTCTATATAGGAGTGTTTTTACATTTATGCTGATTAAACGTTTACTTACTTCTTTCCATTGTTCTTGGTAATGCTCAAGTTTGTCTAGCAATCGATTGTAGCTGAGGATTACGAGGTTCATAGTGGCATATGAGGAACCTGATAGCAACGGCGTCAACTTGGCGAATTCATGGAGCAACTCACAGATACATTCCAGGCAAACCCATTCAGTGTCTGTCAGCTGGTAGTTCTGTAGACCTGCTATATTGTGGCATGCTCGATTGTAGTTACGCTTCACTTTCAAGGCCCTTTGCAGCATGTCAAAGGTGGAGTTCCAGCGGGTACGCACGTCCAAGATCAGCTCAAGCTCCTCTGAAGACCCGGCAACATCTTCACCTCCATCTTCTCCACTGGCGCCTTGCTTTGGCTGGTGTAAGGACTTGAATGTCTCGAGATATTGATTGTTTTTTTGTGGTGTCGCGCGGATACTGACAATGCCTTTACGAAGCTTACGCAGTGTTTTGCCTAGGTAAGAGAGAAACGACGATGATAATTAACATGGTGTGTGTACTGTTAGCTTGTGTGTTTTTTCGTACCTGTACTGAACACTGCTATATCGTCGCTACCAGTTAAAGCTTCTTGCTCATCATTATACGCCTCGCCATGCAACCCGTCGTGGAGAATCGCCTGCACTGCCAAATTCAAAACATGGGTTATGCAGGGTATACGGTTCTGCGTGGCGTCAAAAATATCTGCGCCGACCTGGAACTCCAAGTTTTGCGCCATTGTGGTCATATTGGAAGCATTATCTGCCGTCAAGAAGAATGGTTTTGTTGCAAGGCTCCAGTCACCCAGCACCTTGAGGAATGCGTCTGCCATGTTGGCTCCTGTATGTGGACCGGTGAGAAGCTCCAGACTAAGGACGATTGATTGCTGGTTCCAATCATTGTCGATCCAGTGGGCCGTGATACCAAGAAAAGAAGCCCTCCACTCACTTGTCTAGGCATCGACGGTGTATGATAGGAACGGCACGTCTTTCAGTACCTCGAATATGCGAGTGCGGTAGATATGGTATGTGTCAAACAAATCGCGGGCGGCAGTGCTGTCACTTGGCAATTTGACATGCGTAGTTGTCGGTGCTGATTGTGCAAGATTCAGCAGCGACTGGAACCGCGGATTCTCGACGATCGCAAATGGCAAAGCAGCAGACACGAGAAAAAGACAAAGTGCGTGACGGAATGCTTCAGAGCTGAACCTGGAAACGCTAAAACCAGGAGCAAGAAAGGCGTCGAGCGTTTGTCCCTGTGGTGGTGCATCAACGGAAGTATTCTTGGTAATATTGTGGTTCTTGAGCAAATGGTTGGATAGACCCGTCGTAGTACCTTTGGGATCTTGGTATTTTCTATTGCAGAAACCGTTGCCGACCGGAACATTGCAATAATAAAAGATGCCGCCACTCTGGCTTTCGTGGGCCTCTCTGAACCATTTGT